ACCTCCGCTAAAATAGTCGTGATTCGATTCAAGTTGTAAAAACAATTTCCCAAATAGCATCTACAAAAAGAAGATGTACGTGTTAGGTCAATGAGACAGACATCTAACGATACAAAACAACATATTAATTATCATTCTGTCTTGAACAATTGATATTCAAAGTTCTCCGTGAAATTTTGTATATATTTTACAAACCAATGATTTATCATAGGCATTCGTGTTCATGAAAGATGTTTGATAGACTATATATATAAATAAAAGAATGTATGTCAAGCTCTTAACCACATGAACAACAAAAAATAATACAATAAAAGCAAGTACCTTAGGTAACAAACACAGTGTCTAAGATAGCTGACAGTTACTGAAACAATGAACGTTTGCATAATGAAGTTATCATAAAACACTTTGATTAACTGGAACTGTTCATTTCGTATATAGAACAATATGAGAATTTCGTTAAAACCTGCCCAATCAATTTTTATTTCAGTTTAACGTTCACCATTTGGAGAAACAAGGATCGGTTATGCGTCATTTTTCAACACTCCTGGCTATATTATTGAGTCCTTTTTTATAGGAGGAAGCAGACGTACCCGAAAGGTACCATAGACCTTCCATAGGAAAACTGTCAATACTAGTCAAATAAGATCTTAGTCGAACCCACCTGCAACAAAGATTTCGAAGATGCATATCATACTTGATTGTTCAAGTCATAGTATGCTTATATGTAGTATATCAATGCTAATTACACTGAGTCTCTCTTGTAAGTTATATGCATGAGATTTGTTTGATTGGTTTTTTTTTCTCATCGCCATTGCACAGAGTGAAAATAATGTAAAGACATAATAATGTTTGATGATCCTTATGATAGTTGAGGATGTTTGCATCAATACAGATATTATCCGTATCGCATTATTCGCACATGATAAATCAATAATAATGTAAAGTGTATCAGCTTGTAATTTTCGCAGATTTTCGAACAGACTATGTGCACGATGTTTTACCTCTCTTTTCTCTCATAGTCTGGTTTTTTATACTTTCAAATGTTTTGGGTATTTATTTCTATTTTTGTTCTAACATTTTGGTATACATCAATGATATCGCAAAAATCACAGACTTATTCTTTGAGCATCTGTACTGTTTCTGGTATAAATATCAAATTGTAAGATGTAGATATGTACTATCTTTTTTTCGAAAAGAAGTACGACGGCTACAGAAACTACAGTCTACTAAAAACTACAGAGAAACTGAGGATTGACGAAAAACAAATCTCATTGAAACACAGTGTGAATTCCGTTTCCCACCAGGGATGAAAAATTTCTGCTTCACTAGTAAACCCGTTTTGCACATAGGAAGTTCAATTCTATCAAACAGTTTATTCAGTGAAATGAGTATTAAAGAAAAGAGAACAGGATTTTGTAAAGGAGAAAATATCCGTGATCCACATGTTGCTTTCGATCTATAATGATTGTCCTGTTGCAATGGTGAATTGTTGGTAAATACCAAAGGAACTGAACATGACATCTTAGCTACATACCAAAATATCAAACTTACTTCCTACAACATCACTCTGTTAAAATGATTTAAGGTCTATTAAGATATGTTATTGTTCTGTAATCCATATTATGTTCAAGCTCATTTAATTTGAAGGATAGTGTAAATGGCATTTTTTTTAAACTATTTAGTACTTTCTTTTAGAATTTGGTGTTCATATATTTTCATTTTTCATCAAGCAGAAGACAACATAATTATTTATTTAAAATAGATTATTCGAAATACATCTACTTTATTACATTTTACTACTATTTGTTATTTCAAACATTTATAAATAGTTCAATTAAAAAGAATGATTTTATATTTACAATAAATTGGTCAAACATATAATGTTTTAAAATAAATAGTTTAACGTACCTGCTGTTAGAGTCACTGGTCTTAGTCTACAGTTGTGTATAATGTATCTTTTTATTGTAAGGATATTGATGTCAATTCAAATCATATGAAATACGTTTAATAAAATTGAGAATGGAAATGGGGAATGTGCCAAAGAGACAACAACCCGACCATAGAGCAGACAACAGCCAAAGGTCACCAATGGGTCTTCAATGCAGCGAGAAACTCCCGCACCCGGAGGCGTCCTTCAGCTGGCCCCTAAACAAATATGTATACTAGTTCAGTGATAATGGACGTCATACTAAACTCCAAATTATACACAAGAAACTAAAATTAAAAATGAAACAAGACTAACAAAGGCCAGAGGCTCCTGACTTGGGACAGGCGCAAAAATGCGGCGTGGTTAAACATGTTTTTTGAGATCTCAAACCTCCCCCTATACCTCTAGCCAATGTAGAATAGAATGTGTTTGCGTCTGATATAGACAGGCTTCAAATACTCAATTAAATTTAATCTAAACTAATTTTACAAAGGTAATAATGTAAACAACGACATTGGCTGTATTTCTAAAAATAAATAAAACGACGTCGGGTTTATTTTGATTTAGTATAATAACTATCTTAGTAACATAATTTGAATAGCAAGCAGCTTGACTATATTTAATGGAATATTGAATTCTCAAAATTAATTAATTTTTAAATCAATAAAAGCAAGTTCACTTTTACATTGTTGGTTCGTTCAATTTTGTTTGAATGTATTTCAAAATGTTGAGGTATGAAGGCTACCAAAACGAATCAGTACCACACATACTATAGATGTAATCATTGATAAAATATTTTGGTCTTTGGTAAACGTGGTATGAATTGACTGATTTTCATTTTCTCAAATGATAAATGACGTGCATCTGAATTTACAGTACCTGCTAGAGGTGAAGTTCCTTGACTAGGGTTTAACCATTATTTGTGCAATTGTTCACCTCTGTTATTATGTGAAAATAAGTTTGTATTTGCGAATCCGAATTCCATTAAATCCTTCTTTTTTTGCACGAACTATTGCTATTTACAAAGGAATATGGAAGTGTGGTATGATGGCCAATTAGACACTAATTAAACTATTCACCAGGTACAAAATGATAAGGATGAATTAAACTGTAGTGTGTGGTAAAACCTTTAAAAATCCATACCGTATAGTACCTTTTAACAAGTTTTGGGTTGACAAATCATGAAAAATTCAATAGAGAAACTAATCGGTTGCAATTTATGCTTAAACAAAACAATAAACGCAGACACAAGTTTGGACATCCACTTAATTACTAGCCCCTGTTTTAGAACAAATACACATAAACGTGGCAGAGTTGAATATGTTTCTGAGCGCTGAACCCTACCCTAGCCTGGAATAGAGGTGTAATAGTGCATTATAATAACCAACTTTTAAAAATAATTTGACTGCAGATCGGAAATACACACACAAAGAGCTATCAAAAATAGACAATAAAAAAAACCGAGATACGTTGATCAATAAAAGAGTATTTACTTATTGTTAAATTGAACAATCCCTATTATACTCTCAGATTCTAGATCTGAATTCAGGACTTGCAACCTGCTACGTGTTTGTGTGTGTGGTAAAGACTTTACCTTTTGTCGTGTAATTTTAGCACCTATAATCCCTCTTCTTTTTGTGTTTAAATTTTAATGAAACTCCTCAAGTATTTTTACTATCATTTGCTTGTTTAAATGAAAAACAGCGACTGTTCTATCGTTTGACTTCCTGTTTGTGTCGTTAAAATGTTGAAATAATAATAATATCTCTAATGATGAATCCCCGTCATCTCTTGCTTTTCTATGTTGTAAGAGCAATACAGTCCACGCATTTCCAAATCATCAAGTTAAATTTGACAGACCAGTGGGTTTCTAAAACGTCGAGGATATATTAAAGGCGGATGTTTGAAAAATAAAAATCAATCCAGTGACTCCCCTTTTTCACACATTTGTCCGTATTGACCACGAAAATTGTGGGTATGCTAATCGGTCATGAAATTAAAGGTCCTTTATAATATGAGTTTAAAATGGAATAAGGGAATGTAATTCCCACTTAAAAAATATAACCATGATAACTGCATTTGTTCCTGGCGGAAAAAATAATACCAAATAGGTTTTTCAACAGGAAAATTTATTATAGCATTGTTTACAACGATGTTTTCAGAGGAACTTCTGTTAGGATAAAAAAAATATGCGTTCATCCGTTATAAATGTTGGTACGTCGTCTGCAACGCATGGTGTTTAACATGTGTAATCTTGACGATTTTGGCGTTCCAAACCAACAGCCGTCGTTGCTTCTCCTAATAACTTTTGGATAAGTAGGTATTGCGTACATAGGCTCATAAATGTGTCAATTTTCAAATTTTGTATTTAGTTCCGTTAATATCTTTAGTTTACATTTATTGTTATCCTTTACTACATAACATATGTTTGGTTATGTTTTAGTACACACTATTCAAAATAAACTTGATAACGTCATTCAGTTTTCTTTATTGACGCCATTAACACCCTCATAATACTACAGCCACCAACTAATGACACTCACTGAAGTACATGCTCCTGACTAGGGACAGGCAAATACAAAAGGTCAATTTGAAGTTCTTGCTTAACTTGTTAGAGCATTACAAAGAGACAAATGTTAAGGTAGGGGATCAAATACACAATTTTCGAAAAATTATAGTCAAAGATATATTTAAGGCAATAAAAACACGTACAAATAATTAAATGGGAAAATGAAAAAGAAACAGCCTGCAAATGCAAAACGTAACACGTAAACAACAATTTCTTTCCCACGAAAACATTTTTAAATGAACAAGGGAAAAAACAAAAAATCAAATTAATAAACTAAGATTTGTACAGTAAACACATCTTCACATGAACCGGAACACAAACTTGTATCTCATCCTCATTAAAACATATTAGTTTACTGGATTAAGCAAACAGCTGATAACGTTTCACAAACCATTTGATAAAGTTCAACATGCAATATTCCAAATGACGTCAAAGTGGTATTGCCTACAGCTAATTAAGGCGATAGCATATATAAACATTTTATTTTTTTAGTAAGGGATTTGTTATTTATAATGAAATATCCTTCAACATCAAATGAATTTAAGTACCGTTGTTCGTGTTATTGTGTATTTTCAAGGGATCGTTATCAAAATTATAACTGATATTTCTTACAAAACATTGTGTAACCCATAAGTTACCCGTTTGCATGTTTTGCTAAAAGAGTCAGAACAACTAATTCAAATTCAGAGGAGATATTAGCTTTAACAGTTAGTAGTCAGTTTACTGAAAATGAAGTGTTTGATTTTTATAGGAATAGTTTGTTCCGTACTACTGTCAGCAGTAAAATCAACCAATACCGGTGATAATTTTGTAGAAACTCCTGTGGTCGATAACCAAAATGTTCCTTTGCTTGCAATGTTTGACATGACAAATGTGAACAAGCGCATCAAGGCGTACATTTCCGACGCTTTCAAAATGAAAATGTCAGAATTAGTTAAAATGAAATTACAAGAGGTTTTGCTGTCATTAAAAATAACTGAGAATGTGAAACAATATATTGATAATATGAAGGAAAATTTAACACTGAACATTGAAAAGGAAATTAAAGAATACTTTGATGATGTGAAACAGAATGTGACCGATACAACATCTGAAGGTATCTACGTTGTTTCTATTTTTTAAATATCATTCATCGTGTGTTTAGGTCAATGTTTTGTTCTCTGGTTAAACTATTTGTTTTCGACTACTTTATTCCAAATCGAACTATTTGTTTTTAATAATATATATATACTGTAACTAGAATTTTATATTCTAATTTGTAAGGGATGCAAACTACTTTTGAACGTCCATTCTGGTACAATTTGTTTGTTTTCAAGTAATTTCGAATCGATCAATCATATTTTTTTTTTCTAAAACGGCATAACCCCCTCAAAAGATGATAATCGAAATCTTACACAAATCCAACGCAAAAGTTGGTATTGTTGAGTGCAGACCAAGGATTACATAAAGGAAACGCACGTTAAAGCCGCGTGCACATATTTTGTTTGTTAACTTCAATTTTCGCGTTTGCTATAATTACGTTAACACGGTCAAGTGAAAATTTGTAATGTCTACCCGAGTAAACGCGCGTTTACTCTGTGTCCGTTTAGTCAGTAGTAAACGAGCATTTACTTCAGATTTCAAAAGTGTATTTTCTACGTGCACTTGAAAGTTAACTTATTGTGTAAGTCATAAAATAAACTCCGTGTACATTTGTACATGTCTTTCTTTTGGGAAAATGACTTTTAACTTAATATTTTACGTATATGTAAAACCGTATTAATTGAAAAACACTTTTAATTTGAAATATTAACATTTATTAATTGGAAAATGTCAGTTGCAATTTCTTTGAATAGCTTATTATACCATATTTTCTTTTTCATAAGTTGCAAATGTTGATTCACTCAAAAGTGTTAAATAATTATGCCAAAATTAAAAACCTCAAAACTATATATGTACATGTACAATTACGTTTAATAAAGTATCATGAGTAAGTCGTCAACATTTTTTACGGCAGATTTAACTGGTTTATGCTTCATGAAATAAAACAATCATCATATCATACATTAATTGTGTTCCATGCCGTAGAATACATCTATTCATCCAAAAAGTTTATCAGTGGTCAATATAGAGATACATGTTCATGTATGCAGTTTATAAAAAGAAAACTCCAATCAGCTTTGATTTTGAAATAATGAACAATATTATAATTTCAATTATACGTTTCAGTAGATACACTGTTTTATGTCGTGAAGCCCGAATTGCGACGAATATTACACGCACATACACATACACGTTTGTTTGCACGAGAGCCTGGCTGCTACAAACATATACACGTATGTTCAGACGTATACATATATGCAATGGCTGCCACAGTTGACCAAATGGACGCATTTATACAAATTGTTTACATGTTATTCTTGTGCAAATAAATAGGGCCGCAGAGATATATATCAAAAGGAAATATTTGCGAAGGCGAACAGCGTTCCGTGATGGCGGTAGGAGACGAGCTTCGCTTTGTGCGACAAACAATCCAGTGACTTGATGATGTCCATTGGTAATCAGTAAGTGTCCCTTTTCTTCGTGGGAGGGGCGGGAAACTTGGTCTACCATTGGAAGGTTCACTTGTACATATGATAAAATGAATAGATTTTGTTTGATTTTCGTTATAGCAATTAAAAATTTGATATTTTGAGATATTCTGGTACATCTTTTATGTCTTTGTCAAAAGATTAAAATCTATATCGGATTTCTTTTAAAGGAAAATGCACGTAGATTATCGTGTTTCGCTTGAATATTTACGTGTTAGCTCTTTGAATCCCACCACCCAAAACAACAAAAAGCAAACAAGCATGAATCTTATCTTTACAATCAACATTAAAACGGAACTGCGTATAAGTATATACGATTATCACACTAGTACCTTTTGTGCTCGTAAAATCCTACAGATAGCAGTACACATGTTTATACTTTGAAGAAAAGGAGATGCATTGGCTACATTGTATATATAAATAAGGAGATGTGGTATGATTTCCAATGAGACAACTATCCACCAACGTTCAAATGAAGTGGATGTAAGCAGTTATAGCAACCGTACGGCCTGTTTGTTAATAGGACAACTGAGCATCAAAGACAGAAGAGCGGCGATTTAAGACTTTTCAGTACACGAGTTATACATTTCACCACACGAGTTACATATTTCACAATACGAGTTTTATATTTCACCACACGGTCTTCAGCATTAAGCTGAACCTTAACAGTAAGTTATACAAAATATATGTGTTTAATATCAGCCCAGTCAATGAGACAAAGTATAACTGTTGGTCGAGATCAGTCTAAAGTGATGCGCCAGACTATCAACCGTTTTTCGATTCCGGCAAAGTCCATGATCATCTTATAGAGCTTGAATGTTATAAATAAAATATGTTTAAAACATAAATATGGATATATGGATGGATGGATGTTTAATGCCCAGTTGCGAATTAAATGCATATTCAGGACGAGAAAATGAGACCGCCTGAACCGAATATGTGCCGTGCTATTTCACAAGGAGTTGATAATAATAAAAATTCTTGGCACAGAGATATTATGGTCGAACTGATTTAGGGTTTTTTTGTTTATTGATACCCTTTGTTAACTGTTAACATGAGATACTTCCCAATTGCAATCCAAAGTTAGTTTTGTGTGGAACATGTGATGTTGGTCAATAACATCAAATATTTAATTATCAATACCACATGGTGTATTGGATGCAATGTACAGTTCCAGTAACATAGTGAAATTTGTCAAATATCAATAAACCATACAGTAAAGAAAGAATGCAAGATGTTTTGTTTTAAAGTATTATAATCTAATGATATATATGTTGATGATTAACTTTAATCCATAAGTAGAAATACAGTTATACATTGTTTGTTCACTAAACATCGAAGTAAAAAAAATGAATTGAATTAAATTGTATAAGCCAATCAAAATATGTGTTACTTATATAGTGTGTAGTTACATGTTCCAAAAATATAATCATTAGAAACAAATTAAAACCAAATAATTTGCTTTAGATATAAAAGCATATTGTTTTAATGTCAATGAACTGTTGAGTTACAGTAAACGGGTTATGTCACAGATATGGCATACAACTTCGGCTCGTTAAACTATTAATAACTCAAAATTAAAAAGGTTTATCTGTTAGTAATCATAGGGTCACCAACTTCTTTCTTGGTGTATTGACCAGTCTGTCAACTAGTTGGTAGTACAAAACGTCAAACATCGACGTTTTATGGTTTACAACGTTATGCTTTTTTTCACTTTTACTTTTCACCTACAACACCATTTTAAATGATTTCCAACACAAAAAAAGAAGTAGGTGATCAGATTGTTAGTTTACATCATTCAAACGGAAATCTATAACAAAATGTGCTTTATTAAAAAAAACATTATTTACTGAACTGTATAGAGAACTTGCAGATACTATCGTTTTATGAATCAACAACCTATCCGTTTTTAAGAATATCTTTGCATTGGTAATTTGAAATTTGCTGATTTTATAACAAATTCAAGAACGCTTTTTGCCGATTGTATATGCCTTCTATACAAATGTTCATCTATTTTCAAAAAATGAATTTAATAGTATTACATTTATAAGAAAATAAAAGAAATCAATGCATTATTTTTTATCGACTTTCAGTAATAGTTCAACAAGCCAAAGTACTATACTTTGAACTTATTGTTCTGATACACATATACAAAGAATATAATATAAAAAATAATTACATTTACACTCACAATATTTTTCTGTATTAAAATATACAGTTTTTCTTGCGTTTTATAGTGAACTTGAGGATTTTATTATATTAGGGGTACCTATTATGAAATACTTCGGTAACTTAGTGTAAAGCATAACATTATTAATGTTCCTCAATATATTTTAGAGATGAAGTCTTTTCGGAACTCACTGCAGGAAGTTCAACAAATCATAGCAAATCAAAGTAAGCAAAAAGAAGTCCTATCATCAATTAGACCGTCTTTAATTTTACTTTCTGAATGTTTGTACGCATTGACAGTCATATTTATACTTTTTTGTAAAATTCATTTTCAGTATAGGAAATTTCAAAAAGTAAAATTATCGTTATTTCAATTACAGTCATTGATTTAAAAGGTGAAACAATAACAATACCGAACTCCAAGGAAAATTCAAATGGAAAAGTCCCTTATAAAATGGCAAAATCAAAAGCTCAAACACATCAAACGAATGGAAAACAACATTCATATCCCTGACTTGGTACAGGCATTTCATTATGTAGTAAATGGTGGATTAAACCTGGTTTTATAGCTAGCTAAACCTCTCACTTATATGACAGTTGCATTAAATTCCATTATATTGATAATAATGTGTGAACAAAACAAACAGACATAATACGTAAAAAAGTCAAAAATAGGGACACAGAAGTCAACATTGTGTTAATCTTAATCACTATAAAAACAAACAAATATGTCAACAAAGAAAAACAAAATCGCATATAGACATAGCACATAAGCAAACATGAAAGACAAGAATACAAAAAATGACCACAGCACAACAACAGATTGGCAGGATGCATAAATACCGAGCCAGCCAAAAGGATATTACCAAAAATGGACTAAACAGTAAAGGTTAATAATTTACAAAGACAAATAAAAAAACACTTTAAAACGTAATTAAGATGATAAACAATGTCAGTACCTAGAATCTATACTTCAAGACCATCATGTATTATTTTTGAAGTTGATACGGAATATTTATCAACAAGGTCTGGTTCATCAACTCTCTGCTCAGACACTGGTGACGTTTTATAAAGTATGAGTATCAGTTGCAAGCTCTTGAATACCGAATGAGTTAGGAAATGTATATCCCATATGCAGGTGAAGTTGGTATATTGCTACTAAGGTGGGGGCAATTGAGTGTGTTTAATGATATACTATTGTATGTTTCAAATTGCAACAACACATTTACATCAATTCAAGGCGATGAACTACCATGCGGGAAAGTATTACAAGATTGTGGTGATTTGATAGGAACAGGCTGCCCAAATGGCGTTTACAATTTGGGTCCAAAAGGTGTATCGCCATTCCGGGTTTACTGCAATATGGATATTACTGGTGGAGGTTGGACAGTACGTTTTAAGTGTTAACTTGAACATACAAAATATTTTTCACTAATATCTTTTATATCATATAGTAAATGTTTTATATGTGTAATTTACTTTCCCTCTTCAGCTTCCTTCATGTTAGTTGTGTATTGTATATCATAAATGTTGCGGTACCATCACAAATGCTTCGTTTTCATTTCATCAAATGCATTTTAATTTTACTAAGATCGAAAACATATAACATAAATGGAAACGAATGGATACGGTGTATCAATTCATAACAAACCATTCATTTTGATCTATAAAGAGGTTGATTCCTAACTATCCTACTGCCTGTCGATACATTTATTTTTGGCATTGCATAAGTCATGTCTTCTTTGACTGTCCATGACGTTAAAATACTAAATCCCTGGGATGTGTTTTAGTTGATTTTAGTCTCTGATGCATGATTTTTTATTATTAATTGTTTTGGGCTTTTAACTAGCTGTCAATAACTGCAAGTACTCTCAAATCGTACTTTCTTGTTTATTTGACCTGTTGATACTTATTGTAATGCTTGTTTTTGTTATTTAGTGTTATTCAGGGTTATATCTGGTCTATATACCAGCTTTGATAAGTGTTTGGTATTACTATAAATTTTCACTTCTTCGTACTTTGTACATCAAAATTATTTATTATGTAAAAATAGTTCATTTCTCTCTTTGAACTGTACACGTATACCTAACAACAAAATTATTTTCATTTACATGTGTTTAAAGTAATTGCAAATGGCTGATATTTTTGTTCAAGCATATTGTTTTTCTTAAATTGTTTAACATTTCACAGCGGTATAACATGTTATTTTAATTATTCTTCCCTTAGTTTATTTATTTTGTATTTACATTGTATCATAGATCAAAATTTTTTGTTCAGTGTATGTTCACTGGTGTTAATATGTCTTTTGATTGAGTTAAGTCATTTCAATTGATATTTTATAGTGTGTCTTTCTATGTTGTGATGTTACACTATTGTTTCAGATAAGGGTGAAGGTTTGGTACCATTAAAACGTTTAAACCCGCTGCAATTGTTTGCACCTGTCCTAAGTCAGGAATCTGATGTTCAGTAGTTGTCGTTTGTTGATGTGGTAGATAAGTGTTTCTCGTTTCTCCTTTTTTATATAGATTAGACCGTTGGTTTTCCTGTTTGTTTGGTCTTACACTAGTAATTTTTGAGGCCCTTTATAGCTAACTGTTCGGTGTGAGCCAAGGCTCCGTGTTGAAGACCGTACTTTGACCTATAATGGTTTACTTTTATAAAATTTGACTTTGATTGTAGAGTTGTCTCATTGGCACTCATACCACATCTTCTTATATCTCATTTCTACTCGGATATGACAATAAAAGCAAAGGAACGGCGTTTTTATCGCCGTTCTTCGTCTTAAAATAATAAAAAGCAAAGACTGTTATCCGTACAGCAATTTCAAGACGACACCAAGCACTGGTTTAAGCGCAATAATTTGCAAGTTGTCAGAACTTCTTTTGTTTTAATACAATGTTGTCTTTTAAGGTTATACAGAGAAGACAAGACGGTAGTATGGATTTTTACCGAGGATGGGAAGACTATAAAAATGGTTTTGGTGGACTTACAGGAGAATTTTGGATTGGTATCTAATTAAATACTATACTTTCGTTTTAAAAAATTATGCATAAAAAATTATAGGCAGTGACATGATTGTAGTTCTTTTCGTTTTTTTTTTTTTTATTTTGGAAAAGTGATTGGGTGCTGTTCTTCGTTTTAGCACTAGGGTTTGCAAATAGTGCATTATCAACAATATAAAGGGATAACTAAGAAGTTAATTATAACATACTTTTAAAAATAAACATTTTTTAACAGCTTCTAACAAATTGCACACATTTATACTAGGTAATGAACACATTTACAAACTCATGTCAAAAGGAAGTTATCAGCTCCGAATTACACTAGAGGACTGGGATGGTGATACGAGATATGCTACATATAATACTTTCAGTTTGGGAAACGAAGGTTCTAGCTATAGATTGAAGATCGGAGGATACAGTGGCACTGCAGGTATGTTACACGAAAGTGTTAAAATGTATATAATACTCTTTTTTTTTAATTAAAAGTTTGATATGTCCTGCAAAAGATAATAATGATAGGTTTTCCAGAAAATTTACATAAAATCGTTGATCCCTTTTTGTAGTGAACATGTTTTTTTCTTCTTTTGTGGTCTGGTTTCACGGAAACGTGATTGCACTTTTTACAAACATAATATTGTCCAGTTCATTAATGAGGTATTGGTAACAACAAAGACATGATAGAAAGGTGCGCACTGATTTTTTTCGACTTCATTTGTTGGTGTTTTAATTGTAAGGAAAACACAATTAATTATTAAATTCATAATTCCGAAATCCCTATTCTTATAGAAGGATATGTTAATCCTTGCATGTTCCCATTTAAATTTATAAAGGAAAATACAAGGATACTTTTCGGGAGGGGAAACAGAGAATGTGTTAAATATTTGCATGTTTCTAGAAATAAAATGATTAAGATACAAATAAACATATTGCACTAACTTTAAAATCTATAATTTAAAGGGATTCATGCCTTATACCTCTTTTAGTGCTTGTTTCTAGCAATTCAATCCTGTGTATATATTGAATGGAGGAATTGGTTTCTGGTCTGCCTCTTTATTTGGAAGAAGAGGGTTTTATTATAGTAAAGGATATGCGTTAAATATTTGTAACTGGACGTCACAGTTTCAATCAATATGAAATATGCGACGAAGCTGTCAATCAATCAATCAATAAATCTTTCAAGCAAACAATCCAAGCCGATCAATAGGTAAAGGAATGATAAATTCATCAAATATGACATTATGCAAAGTGTCAATTAATTAATCAATTAACCTACCAACCAATCTACATGAAGAACTTGTAATAAAAAGAGGCAAAAGATACCAAAGGGACATTCAAACTCATAAGTAAAAAAAAACTGACAACGACATGGCAAAAAAGGCAAAACAGTATACAAAACACAGCATAGAAAACTCAAGACTGAGCAATACGAACCCCACAAAAAGCCGGGGTGTTCTCATGTGCTCCAAAAGGGTAAGCAGATCCTACCCCACATATGGCACCCATCGTGTTTGTCATGTAAGTATAATACCTGTGATAACGTCCGTAAAATAATCGAAAGGATGATTTCAACTTAACCACTTGGAACTCTTGGTTTAATAGCTTTCTTGTGAGCATTTATTCTAAGTCTATTGAGGAAATCGTGATAGAAAACTAGTGTTACGTAAACACTCTATCAACCAATAATATATGTCAAAAATGGTGGAAAGACTGCACTCTTATATTGATGGAAACAATCTTAGAAAAGCTTTCGGTTTGCCGAATAAATCAATAATTAAATTAATACGTTTAAGATGATACTTTATTTAAAGGTTTCAACTCTAGACTATCGACTCTCAATTGTCAATTGTAAACATTATTGAACATGTCTATCAATAAACAATCAAGTACATTTGTTGATCATGAAAAGCGGAATAGGATACCAAATTGATAATCAAACTAATAAATCGAAAACAAACTGACAGCGCCATGGTAAAATTTGAGACTGGTCGTTAGATGAAGACACCAAATGAAAAGCGCGTTGTGCATTGTGTACCGAAAAAGATATTGGTGATAATTTTCTCTCTCTCTTTTGATATGTGTAATTTATTTAATGTTTTTTGTTAAAATCAAGTGATCTTCGTCTTGATGTAAAGTACGTCGATTGTAAAAAAAATCAATCCATCTTTAAAACATTTCTCATAAAATTGAGATAAGGTACTAAGGAGGCAATCAAAAATCAGGGCCAATAAAAAAAAACACACATCGCCATTATCATGACCACAGTTAAAAACGACGATTACGCAAACAACAATTACAAAGCAGTATAGAAAACAGATGGAGCAACGTAAAACCAACCCACACAGAATTAGGGTGCTTCAAAATTACAATTACATGTTTATTACAATATGCTGTAGTTGCTTCTCGTGTATATTTTTATGCATTTTGGTTACTATAATTAATATATGAGATTTGAACAAAAATCTTAAAATCCTGAATATTGTATATCAGCTTATGGTACCGATAATGTTTACACAGGTAAATTAATGATGTAACACACATTTATAAGATATTGAATGTTATATCATATTTGTTATTATTCTTTAGGAAATTCAATGACCTTAATCAATGGTAAGGTATTCAGTACAAAAGACAGAGGAGACAAATGTGCACAACGGGCTGTTGGGGCTTGGTGGTACAGTAATTGCAGTTACTCTAATCTGAACGGGGAATATCTTCGAGGAAAGACCAGCACCGATAAAAATAGCTATAGAGGAGTGATGTGGTATTACTGGAAAGCTAGGTGGAATTATTCACTAAAGAAATCTGAGATGATGATCCGAAAACATTGAATAAGCCTGTATAAAATTAATTCAATAGCAGGCGTTCTTTTAAAAAATCTGTATCAGGAGTAGTTATTTCTAAAATAAAATGTTTCTTTCAGTTTTAGATCGCCTAATACTGGCATATAATACCGGCATTTTCATTTTTTAAGATAAGTTAGTTAAGCAACCACTAAAAAGTTAGTTCAGCAACCACTTAATCTGTAAGTTAAAAATCTATTTTCTATTCTATTATTATGAAGAATAAATTGATTCCTGGTTTGAATAATTTTTTTAATAACTTCAATGATCATTATCCTTGGATCAAACGATTACCAAAATTTGGTAATATCACCAGTATACTATACAATAAATTGAAAGAGAAATTATGTTGTTGATATTGTTTTTCTTCAAGAACTATATTTAACTACAATTACCACATTATATCACAATGATCAACTGCAAATACGTAGTTATACTGTTTAGAATATTTCAAAATCAGAAGGATTTCATAAAATACCTTCTTAAAAAAGTATTACTTGATGTCAAAAGTTTTATGCTGTATTAATAACATATAACAATAAGGAGATGTGGTTTAATTGCCAATGTGACAACTATCCACAAGAGATAACGTGACATGGATATGATTAAAGGTTACGTACAGCCTCCAACAATAAGCAAAACCCGTACCATATATCAAGCTATAAATTGCTCCAACAATAGGAATGTGAAACAATTAAAACGTTTGGGTTTTAAAAAGATTTCCATTGGACATTATGTTTGTATTTGTATGTTAAACTGTGAAGTAACTATTTTTATGCTAAACATATTCATGATATTAGAATTACACGGCACCTGAATTTAATTGTAAGATAAACAAAATACATTAAAAAAAGTTCAGTATATGAGAACCTCTTAACAATAAAATCAGGGTGAACTAGAACAACCTGTAATATATCGGATACATGTTTAAAGGGAAAATAAAACAGTTTTAGTATAACGTACTAATGTGGTCTCAGTTATGTAAATTAAAGTTAGTGAACATGTTGATATGACACCATCCTGTCCTACATTGTTATATCGCTGTTACAACGTGAATTCTAGATAGAAAGGAATAAGTGTTTTCTTATAACATTTCGTCTTCCCTTAAAATCAAATTTCAGTAAATGGGCTTTGTCACAGATTTTTGGTAAGACTTGGCATACAACTTTTGTTTGTTGAATTGTAATTGAAAGTCGAAAACAGAAAGGCAGACAGTTGGTTTCAATTGGTCCAGTCTTTCCATTCTTAAAGGTTTTAAAGTCAGCAAATCAGAAAAAAAAAGGCCAGAGACCATGAATAACTTAAATTTCCGCAAACCTAGAGGCCCTGATAATATATGCCACCTTTAATGCAATGACGACAATGACACCTATCTTTTTCACAATAAGTAAAAGAGACAGGGTTTGATCCGGATCAAATTTTAAAAAGTTAAACTCATTCACCGACAATAACTTAAATTATGGGTCAATTGGACTTTTTGCATTTCTTGACTTACTTTTATATTTGTTACGATAGGATAGGGGATTTTTTTTCTGATCTGTGTGTCTGTCTGTTTGTCCCTTCGTCTGTTAGTTTGTCTCGTTTAAGGTTGTTTTTTTTTTCTCAAAGTAGTACATGATGAAGTATAATTGACATCAACTTGAAATTTTACACATATGTAAATTAGGATGTGAACTTTGTAAACGATATGCCAAATTACAGTTTTGACCTAGTTTTAAGGTCCACCGAACAAGGAAAATGATATTGCGAGCATGACATTTGTATCTAGACGATGTTTGGTATATTCTGTATGCCAAGGTTTTTCCTAAAGGTTTCAGATGTTTGTGGTTGATGTGGTGTGATGTTCAGTATATTATTTTGGACAATTCATATTATCCCTTTTATTCATTATATAAAAATAAGGAGATGTGGTATGACTGCCAATGAGACAACTTTCAACCAAAGTTCAAATAGAGTGGATGTAAGCAGTTATAAGCAACCGTACGGCCTTCAACATAAGCATAATCTGCTGATCATTTTAACTGTTTACAGTGTCTGTTTTTCAAATACAGGTATTGAGGTTATTGCAAAGTAAGCTGAATTGGTCAACTATAGTCATTTAAAAGTATTTATTCCTACATTTTTTTATCCACAAATTCAACTCTCTTCACCTTTTATAAATCCTATATTGCTTCTTAAGATAAAAGTGAAAAGTTATACCGACATAGTTATATCGTTATATCGACATAGTATGTCGTAATTACAACATATTTTTAAGTTGGCCCTAACTGACTTCCGTAAATTTCCATTTGATTGATATAAAATGAATCATAGGGTCAACGCCTGAATTTTTTGTGAATTTACCAATCTGTTCCCCGGATTAGATTAGCTTAGCTGTGTTTGGCAAAAACCTTCGGAAATTTGGGTCCTCAATGCTCTTCAACTTCGTACTTTTGGCCTTTTTAACTTCTTTTTATTCTAGCGTCTCATATGCGTCTATTGTAAACGAAACGTGCATCTGGCTCTCAGATTTTTGTCCTGGTATCTATAATGAGTTCATTTACCTACTAGTTGTAATCAAAAACGTCAAAAATTGACATCATACAAATCAGCACTTTAAATATTGTAAATTTCTTGAGGATCTATTACTGAACATACCTTTTTCCACATAAACTCCGTTTTTGCAAAAAAGAACTCTTTTTTTTTAATTGAATGAAATTAACCAACTTACTAAATACACGGTGGTACTCATAACAAGTATAAATCCGGTGATTAGTCCAAAATAATTAAAACAACACGTTATAAATTTCATGGTCTGAAGCGCTTTTCTGGATTTACCTTCTTCAGGATCGCTCAAAGCCGGAAATTTGAAAGCCAATGATGTATAATAACCAACACTGTTGACGAGAGTACATAACCAAAAAGGGCCTAAACAAAATAGCCAAATCCATCTAAGGCCAACTTTGCCTGAGGGAGTTGAAACCTTCAGTTGGTTTCTGTATAATTTCAAAACTTATAAACGGACAATTTTAGATTGATATCAAAATCTAGTAAAGATGGTAGAATTTCGACCAATAGAACAACAGTTGCATTCTTTCAACCAGATATTCCATTACAATGAAACACATAACGCTGAAGTCCTCAAAAGTTTTAAATTTGCATTTGAAGTATTTTCTTATTTTTACATGTTTACCACTTGGGCCGATTGCAAACCGATAATTTTAAGGGCGTTATCAATTGTTAAATTAAATGTGATTGGCTAAACTGTTCAAGAGCAGATTTTATTTAGAGGAACTAGATAAAAAAAAATGTTGATTGTACTTGAACAAAGGGGGTTGTGAGATATTCATAATTAGACAGCAAGCCAACGACACAAAGAACCAGGATACTTCTAGAGATCAACATCGTCAAGTTAAAAATATTGTCTATTGTTATACGAGCTCTCGATCGTCCCGAGACATCAAGTGAGGAAGTCTTCGGCAAAAAGATGTTACATGCACACCTGTTGAATTGCTTAGATCTTCTGAAACAGCTCAGGTGTTTTGTTTCTTGAAATAATTCAAGGGTTGAAGTTGGTTCCATTTATTTCAGGTTGGTTAATAAAACAAAGTATGGGGTGCTGATAGCCCATATTGTGTCATGTGTAATAGAGAGTGAACAATTCTAAGCATTCGCTTATCATCTTATTGTATTGTAATCAGAGAATCACGAGTATGTGAATCAGCGTACATCAGAGACCAGCGTTTTAGAACATGAACTAAAAATGATACTACAAATTTGGTGTGTCTGGTATTACGTTTGCGCGAATTTACCTGTTATTTACCTGAATTTATATCTGTGTTTTTATCCTGAAAATAACATTAATGATTTGTTTGTTTAAAATTGATTATATCTATAGATCATTAATATAATGAAAGAAGTCTTTCGTCGTTTTATATAAACATAAAAAGGCACTACATGTATGTAGAATAGCAATGTTTTAAATAAAATATAGTTTGTATTTCCTGCAAAGGAACATTCTAAGTATAAA